CTCCTGCTAGAAAGCCAATCGTCTGCTTGAAACGGTCGAGAAAGGAAACCTTTTAAGCCAATCATTGCCTAATGATCTACCACGCATCAGTAGTAGATATAACAGTGGGGGAAAATGCTTTTTAAACCTTATTTTGGGACAGTCAGCAAACCTTTTCAGTGTTTTTTATCAGGTTTTACTGGTGATTCAATACATGCAGTTTTTATGTCCCGGGGACCAGTGAAAGTGCAGTTTTCGCCCTCTCCCCCCATTCATTCACAGAGGGGCCTGGTCTTGTTAGTTAGTCCGAAACAGAGCCCTTTAGAGTCGTTGTTGGTTATATTTGAGCATTCAAATTAAAAAAATAAATAGTAAGCCTGTCTGTGCCCCCTGCTCTGTAGGAAAAGTGTTGTAAAATAACTTCTGTTATGAGCTGGCAATTTACAAATATAATTGAATTGAAAATTAATTCAAGCAGACTATTGTATTCTCTATACCTGTTTCTTTGTGAAGTATGTCAAATACTTAAATACATTGGGCCATATGTTTTTGTTTGTCTCCCTCTTTCAAGCAGAGTCTGTCTTCACACCCACCCTCCACATTGGGTTTCAGTCAGCCCTTATCTGCAGACATCCCTCCTGGCTAGAAAGGTAGGCTATGTGTTACACTCATGTACATTAGAGTAATATGGTATACTAGTATTTATTGCTTTTTGTTTTTTACGTGTTTATTTTGTATTCTGATGTGTATTTTAATATAATTTCCTATGTTTTTCTTCTGTGTTTATTGTGTAATCCTTTTTTAATGTGTTTTATTATTTTTTTATTATTGTAATTTGTTAAGTATGGCCAATACACCTTCTTACTGGACATTGAAGCGGAAATCTAGGGCAAGAGTTAACCAACAATTGGAGTCCATTTGTTCTGGTTTTGCTAGTGGCAATGAGGTTCACGAAGAAGAATTTGTTGACGCTTGCAATGAAATTCCAGTTAATGTTGAGGAGGACTTTATGGATTGCGAATCATCTTTTGCTGAGTCTGAGGAGTTTAATGATTCCTTTGATTCTGACAACAATAGCGTAGATAGTGAAGATGAGGTGAACCATTTGGAAAGTAATTTGACATCGTGGGCATTAGAAGAAAATATAACTCACAGTGCATTAAATAAATTATTGAAATTTTTGAAATACCATCATCCATCACTGCCAGTTGATGCAAGAACATTGCTGCAGACTGCACGGTCGGAGTCTGTGGTTGTCAAGGAAAAGGCTGGAGGGACATACCATTACTTTGGCATCCTGAAGTGGATGAATACTACTTTGGAGGCTAATAAGTGCAACTTGGCTAGTGGTGTCTGCCTAGAACTCCAAGTGAATGTGGACGGGTTGCCAGTTTTTAAAAGTTCTTCCACACAATTCTGGCCCATTCTGGGAGCTATCAAGAACCTCCCCCAGCATCAGCCATTTGTGATTGGGCTGTTTTGTGGTACCAGCAAACCATCATTCTATGAATACCTGGAAGATTTTGTGGCTGATGTTGTGGAGTTGGAGAAGGGATTCACATTCCAAGGAATCACCATGAGTCTCCAGCTGTCCTCAATGGTCTGTGATGCACCAGCCCGAGCATTTGTAAAGAATGTCAAGGGACACTCAGGCTACTCAGGGTGTGGAAAATGCATGCAGGAGGGGGAATATGTGAACAACCGAGTGATATTCCCTCAAACTGATGCCCGCCTCCGCACTGACAAGGACTTCAAAGAAATGGCTTATGAAGGCCATCATGTAGGGCCTTCACCTCTGACTGCCACATCTTTGGGCATGGTCAGTGGGTTCCCATTAGACTACATGCATCTTGTCCGCCTGGGGGTCATGAGGCGACTCTTGTACCTGTGGCTCAAGGGTCCACTGGCCTGCAGGCTCTCTGGCTTTCAGGTAAAGACGCTCTCTGAGAAGCTCTTAAAGATCAGACAAGCGTGCCAGTGGAGTTTGCACGAAGGCCAAGATCCCTGAAGGAGGTAGACAGATGGAAAGCGTCTGAATTCCGCCAGTTCCTGCTTTATACCGGTCCTGTGCTCCTTAAAGACCTCCTGCATACTGCAGTGTACCAGCACTTTTTACTTCTTTTTGTTGGTGTTTTCATACTATCAAACAAGGCACTTCTTGAGGACTACATTGAGTATGGCAATGAAGCTCTTGTGTTGTTTGTTCACCACTTTGGGGAGCTGTATGGTAAGATGGTGTGAGGAAACCAGGATCTCCCTGCTGTCAGATTGTGAAGAGGCTTTCAGAGAAAGCATCTGTAAAAACACTGCAAATGAGAAATCTGGGTGTAAGGAGAGAGCACACATCAGGACCTCTGCCACCATTGTTTCATTTTGCACATCTGTACACCCAGTATGACACAGAACTGTTTACCCTCAAACTGGACCAAGCCAACAGCCATGTGTACATTCAGGGAAAGGTAGCAAAGATCAGGAATATAATTGTTGAGAAGGAGGAGGTATACCTGGTCTATTCAAATTTTGCCCATGAAGAGTCCTTCTTTGACTACCCCACGCCTTCCTCTACATTTGCCATACACTTAGTAGATGGCCTCTTGGACACGACACACCACTGCAATATTGGACTGGTAGAAGGGAAGGTTTTCCTAATACCTCATGGAAGAAAGTTTGTTGCTGTGTCCCTCATACATATTGATTGATCCACTCCCATACCTGAACTGCCCCACCACCTGCCCACCCACCATCTCTCAACCTCTCTTGTTTTTGTATGTTTATATATTTTGTGTTGCATTTGTAAATTGTGTGTAATTGTGTGTCATTGCCTGCCTGCTTGTCTGTCCATTTCCTTGCTGCTTCACTAGTCACCAAAGCCTCTTCCCCTGACCTGCTCTGATCTCCTTGCCTGTCTGAACAGTAAGTAGTTATCTGAAAATGTCATCCTATCAACATGCACTATGTTGTCTTTATATTGATTGTGTGATAGTTTTCTGTTTGACCATGTTTTTCTTTTTTATGGTGATTGAAATACCCTTTTTTGTTGTGTTAAATATTTTGTATTTGGCTCAATATGTACTTAATAGTACTATTTGAGGAGGAAAACAGAACTGGCCCTGTGGCAAAGGAGTGGTTTTCAGATGGGCTTGCTTGGTGGCCCCCCTATAGGGACAAAGTCCAAATTCTCCGAAGTGTCCAAAAGAGGATTTTGCCGCAACCAACAAAGGGATGGAGGCAGTATGCTGCATGCATACTCTACGAATCAGGTAATTTTCAATATAA